AAAACTGCCACCCAAGAATCCTCTACCCAGCAAAGCTGTCAATCAAATACAATGGTGTAATCAAAACATTCCAGGATAAACAGAAGCTAAGGGATTTTGCCAAAGCCAATCCTGCTATGAAAAACATCCTAAAGGAAGTTCTGTAGACTGAGAACCAACAAGAACAGACAACAATGACGTACATGGCAGCATTACCCTAAACTCAATCGACAAATGAAAGAGTCAAGAACAGAATAAAATTATAAGAACAGAGGATCTGGGAGGTCAGTCTATGATCAAAACAAATACAAAGTGAAAGAAGGTAAACACAGAGGAACAGAGATCCAGGTGGTAAGAAGGTCAGGTAGATTACAGGATAAAATAGACTGTCTTAAAATGGAGGGAAGAGTTAATGGAATATAAGGTAACCACAATAGTGGGGTAGGGGTGGAGGGTTTAGTTCGGGTGTTGAGGAGGCCAATACAAGAAGAGGGGAGGAGGTGGAAGAACAAGATAGACAGAGGAACACTAAGACAGGTTTTCATGTTCTAAGTGGGACAGAGGTAAATAGTGATGCATGCTCAACCCTGAAACAACAGGGCTCTGTGATACAGGGATCTAAGCACAGTTTGAAGAGGGGAAATAATACTAAAATACTTGGCTGTCTTATGAACATTGGTTTCCCTTGCCAACTATTGTAAAATAGACACTTGAGTGGGATAGAAAGGAATGTTGGGAAACATGATTACAGAAAACCTGTAAGCCTGTCTTTAGCCTGTAACTGATTGGAATACCTAAAAGGGGTTCTAAAACTTGCCCAGTGAAATAGGCCTCTTGCAAAGTCTTTGCAGTGTGGAATCCTGAGTCCCATCCAGAACCTTATGAGGTGGGACATTCCCACTAGCAAGGACAAGCAGATCAGCCTGGAACAGCTAGAGTAAGAAAACCCCAAAAACCCAATGTCAACACGTCTGGCTACTATAAGAATAAGCAAGCTGTTCAACAGGAAGCCATCAAGGCAAACAATCAAGTTCCTTCAGGACAAACTCCCCTCTAAGACTGAAACTCAAAGGGAACACATGAACAAGCACATAAGCTTGCTGGCAACAACATTGGTCTACTGATGAGTGGAAGAGGGGGAAAGGCAGCAATGAAGAAATGGGCTGAGTTCAACCACAATCCATTGACTCCTGCTGACCTGGAAATGAGAGAGAAAAGAGGAAGGGCTATGGCTGGGTGGTCCAAAGTGTGGTGAGACCTGGGGACACTTGAGCTCATGGACAAGGACAAAGCCACAGAGGGCTAGAGCTGACAGTAAAGCACCCAGCTGATATGAAGTGGGGGGATATGCACAAGAACACCCAAACACACAGACAGTACCCATTTTTTAACCTAGCTTCGATGGCTTGATAATCAGAACTCAACTAGGGGAAGATTACAAAAAATTTTTATTTTTTTTGATAAAAGAAACAAGGCTAAATTGCTACAATTTGGTGAACCTGACCTATACTAATGGAAGTAGTAACTCTAAATACCCTTTGGAGGTGTAAATTAATATATATGCCTGAATGTTTTGTTTTTTAAAAAAGCTAAAGTGAATAAGAGAAATACTGTTCACTTATGGTACATGGATGGGATTGATTATAAGCATTTTAATGAAACAAGGTGTATGATTTGTTGAATGTAAAACTGATGATCTGCTTTGTAAACTTTTACTCAATCCACAATAAAAACCTTAAAAACAAAACAAAACAATAGACACTTGAGTGGGATAGAAAGGAATGTTGGGAAACATGATTACAGAAAACCTGTAAGCCTGTCTTTAGCCTATAACTTATTGGAATACCTA